GTAGTATTTCTACGTAATATCAGCGCTGCGTCATAAATTCATAACAATATGGAACAAAGCCCTTTTTCATTTTAAAAGCTATTAATCTTTTGTCGTTTCGTAATTACGTGTTAACGACTCTTGCAGTTATGGTAATTGCGCCCGCGCAAATTATTAATACAAAATTAATAAAGTGCACTCCCGTTTCCCCTATGCGCAATTGTTTCTTCTTATGATAGAAGAGGACAGACAATGTTCACTTGATGGTGGGTGAAATACCTATCCCAGTCATATAAGATCTAAACGAAATGTACTGCTACCCTATTTTGGCTTCGGATAATCGGGAATCCACAGACTAAAGCCAAAACGCGATTAACTTCATCTTTCATCTGTGGACGGAGCTATGAATTTCGATATTCCGTTATTATTTAATATCCAGATTTCCAGACAAACCCAACATGTTTCAGAAAAGTGTTGAACCCTTTGGGGATTGGGGGAACCCACGACCCCTTGATTATTAGTCGAATAATGCCCGTCTAAAATCATTCGGGATTCAGGGCCTTATGCGCTCCTTGCTAGTCGTAATACCGTTAAGTTTTTGTTAAACATAAAAGTATTGCTTAATTAATCGTAACATTTTTTCATTTCTATGTGTGGGTGTTTTTAAAAGCGTAGATGTACTTATAGAGAAATAGACCACGAATTGTTTCGTCAGTGCGGATTGCTCGGTTACGCCGCGAGCATTTGGTCTGTACCCAGCGTTGTAGAGTCTAGGTATATACCAAAATTTTATCCTCGTATATCTAAGTAAGCGATGTATACAAATAAATGAACGTTACGTAACAGTATCCGCGAAGTCAACGTACTTTTTTCGCTATCGCTTCACGGAGTCATAACAAACTATTTGGCGATAAAAGCGAACACGTAGTCTAATGTGATTCTCAAACGTGTTACACGTGGATGCTTGATGATGTTTTGATCGTTTTCCACCGATAAATCGTAAGTCAAGAATTAGGATAGCACTGTCTTTAGCCTTTTATCACAGAGGAGGATAGCCGAGTATAGGGTTCTCGTGGTGGGAGCTGAAATCCCTCAGCCATCTACTATAAAATAACAAGATGCGTTGTCGATGTTATATTGCCTTTGGAGTTCCGGAAATCCACAGACTAAACCGGCATTAAACGTCACAGCTTTTTTATCTGTGGACGCTGTTTCGATATTCCAACTTGTCTAAATTACAATTTACAGTCAATAAATTTAAATCGACAAGCATTTCGTTCAATAACAAATATATATTGACTAGCTGAGCCAGCGACTTCGTCGGCGAGAATCGTTATTTTCGGTATTCAAATTAATTTTGCCATCCCGTCATCTTTATAAACTTAAGCTGTTAGCCACGACGTCGATCGCGTCTCTTGCCGTCGTGCTTGCAAGTTAAACTTAAAAGATAGACATTATTTTTAGATCATTTAAACAGAAATCATTCCTTCATACACATTCTTTGGGTATCTTGATCCGTTTTCGCAGCGTACGCATCTGAAACCCACAGAGATGAAAAATGTTTCCCGTTTTGTTTACATTTCCCGCTGTATCGTCGCTTCTATTAGTCACAGTGCGATGTTTTATAGCCTATAGCCTTCCTCGATAAATGCTCTAATCAACACAAAAAGAATTTTTCAATTCGAACCCGTATTTCTTGAGATTAGCGCGTTCAAACAAACGAACTCTTCAGCTTTATATATTAGTATAGATATAAGACTGATTTTGTTAAATAAACTGTCGATAACATTATTGTTAATTAAGCCAAAATAAGTCGTCGATTCGTCTCGTTTAGATGTTATCTATATATAGACATACATATATATAGACGGTATGGGGTATTCATTACATAAAATAAATCATACTGGTCTCTACTCCTGTCGTAAAAAAAAACTTTATCGATCGATGATAATGCGAACACGAAGAAAACAAATTAATAATTTTAATCAACTTGTTCTAGATGATCTCTTATGTAGAAATAATGATATAAAATCGGAAAACAGTCTGTTAACGCCCTTAGTCGATTAAAATGATTTCCTTTGTTTTAAATGAGAACGCAGATAAGCAATATAAATGTCTGGTGTGATCCTGTCACGATGTGATTTATTTGCCTCATCTAACTATTATTTCGACGGAAATTCACTGTATTCTACAATTAATCAATAAACTACTTTAATATGTCACAAGTGAACGGTAAATCAGACACAGATATATGTACGCTTTACTCCTCGTGTAACAACGACGGGATTTGTGGTTCAAAATATTTATTTAGAATGTACCTATACGTTCTTATACCAGCTGTGCCCGTGAACGAACTTCTCAGCTTTATAACATTAGTAAACACTAACTAAATATGTATCATATTATTATTAACCAAGGTTATTGTCTGTACTTTACGCGAGTAATACACATTTACATAAAACAGTTTTAACTGTTTAAAACGTGACCACGTGCAAAGAATCCGAAACAGGCCGCAGTTAATAAAACTAAAATTGAGTTAACTAATATATTTCGCGTTTTAAACTGTTAAAGGTAATTTAAGTAATGTTAACAGTATTGTTATTATGTACAAATATAATATATAGGTAGTTATAAGTAATTATCTTTGTCTGACTTTAGCTACGGAGCTATGAAGGTTTTGATTTTAAAGATAGATCTTATGAAATACTGCCTTTAGTTTACGCGAGTAGTAACAAACAAACAAACAAAAAAGTACACATTTAAATAAAACACTTTAACCGGTAAAGTGTTTTATTTAAATATATCTTATGAATTTAGATTATTCTTAAATCATTAAATATTAATTAATTAATAATAATTAAAGTATTTCACGTTTAAAACGGGAAAGATATTTTACATGAGAAAGTTATTGGTTTATTAGTGTACTAGTATTGCCGGGCAAAAGATATACGTAAATATTTACGTTTAACTATCAGTATATAAAAACACTGGTCTTGTACAATACAATATCGATTTATTGCCCTATCATAAAACAGGACAATTTGTTATTAATTAAAATTCAATATTGCAGCACTAAAGTAACGCTTTACGAATTTTGGAACAGGTGTTTTTTGCCAAGAAGCAACAGTTTTATACACTGCGTGTAAAGATGCAATAATGCTTTGAAATAAACACTTTATTTGGGTGTGTCCGCGTGTTTGAAACAAACAGGGCTCTATAGATTTGTGTAATGGCCATTTTTGTATGTCACGTATATACTAACAAGCTCTTGTTCGTAAAACTATAGGGGAAAAGGTTATAAAATGTAATTGTACTTTAACAAAACACTTTTCAACGGCTTTAAACGCGATTTTTAATTAACGCCCGATGTTTAGCACTAGCGCTAGTGTAGCAGATTTGACGATGATGAGGGATAACGACCATCGTCAGACCCACAGTGACCACGGTTGCTGCAAAGCATTCGAAACGTCGGGTCGTAGTTAAAATAAATTGTAAATAAGTTCAAATATTTCGAGGTTTGAACCGTTTAAAATCGAATAATTTAAATGTGTATGACAATATATATGTATGTTTGTTGCTTATCGAGTGCTTCACCCATGGGTGAATATGCCTTAGGGCCAGTCAGGGGCTAGCCAGTTTACAATAAATCCGAAAAATTCTCTTCTTGTCCACAATTGAAAACATACTCCTTCATTAATAAAAAAATATTGTCAGTTCTTAAAAGCTCAGAGTTTAAACGTATTAAACGAATTTTAAACACTTTGTTATGGAGACCTGTTATGTTAATATTATAATAACTTTCGAACTATAGAGATCTCGAATCATATACTGGGTCAGAGGTCGTTGCCCTCAAAGTGGTCATAAAGAAATACGCAGTACGTAGCTTATAACAACAATTTCAAAGAATTGGCATTTGTACTATTGGCGTCATTTACAGAAGAATCTATAGAAAGGCTATACGCTATAAAACATCGTCCTGTGTTTGGAAATTGGGAAAATTATTCATCATTCAAGAAATTCATTATGACATGAAACAAATTTCATATGAAAGAATGATTCCTCTTTAAATGATCTAGAGAAAAGTCCGCGACGCTATTATGTCTATCTTTTAAGATTATCTTGCAAGAACGACGGAAAGGAAGGCGACCGACGTCGTGGGTAAAGTTTATAGAGTTTCCAAAACGAATTTGGATGCCCAAAATAACGATTCTCGCGGACGAAGTCGCTGACACAGCTAGTATTAAATAAAAGCTAGTTGTAATTGCTTTCAAATATAAATCAAAATCTCAGCAACATAAGGAAGGTCACACTTCATAGATCAGCTGCCCAAACGACCTTTGATTCTCAGGTGTCATTTGATCTCTGATCCCAGTAGTTCTATACATCTGCTTATATTTTAATTACACAACTTACTTTGTCGTGCTACTTGGGTTTCGAGCTGATCATTTATGATAGCCGAACAGCTTCAAATGCCAATAACTTGGGGGAATAGTCGCGAGAGATTTATACAACGCACGTAATGTACCTACATTTAATTTTTATGGACACAAAAAAATCGAGTTTGAAAGAATATACACTATATATCTCACTTTTAACATTAACTTGCAAGACTTGACGAGACGCGACCGACGACGTGGGCAACAGCTTAAAGCTTCATCTTTACGAAGAGGACGTTCACAAAAACAAATTTTGATGCCAAAAATAACATTTCTGTGTGCGTCTCACTTTCCAATTTTCTATAAACACGTAAGTTTATAGAAAATGTGTAGTTAAACAGATTTCGGCGCGTTGCCTAACGAAAGATAAGAACCTAGGACCTCTCGCGCGTAAAGCATTGCTAAGCAACATCTATAACTATCGATTGATAGAAACTTAATTTTATTTTGATTGCATAAATGTTAGAAGCAATACCGTCTTAGAAGTTGGTGTCGTCCACGCCTAGTGCATCTTCCGAATTTTTCGCCGCCACATTTGAAATTCCAGTGTCTAGACGTCTCTATCGATTTCGTTTTTATTTCCAGGAATGCATTTCTCGCAAGCGGTCGCGATTATTCAGAGTCAAGTTGGCACTATCAGGGGTGTCCAAGTGCTGTACAGTGATCAGGTAACGTTTGATAAATCGACAAGGTCTAGATTCTAGATCACCAAAGGCCTTAGCCAAGTTTACAAATATGAAGGTTTATATGAAGCTGATGGTAAATATTTGCATTGATTTTCAGGCAGCTTAACAGCCTTATGTAATTTCCAAGACTAAATCAATTTATCATCCTCGGGAGTCGAACCCGAGACTTTAAGATCTTAACGCGCATTGCGTTACTAAGGTATATGGCGTCTAATTTATAATATAATTAAAAATTAGACACCATATACCTTATTAATAATAATATAATAAAACACTTTTAACGGTTTACAACACGAAATGTATTGTGTAAACTTATAAGTACTGCATATAGTTTACGGTTACGCCTTGAATAAACACTTAAGAATGTTTTGGGGTCTACACGCCTGCTACGCAAAGCATTCGAAACGTCGGGCCGCAGTTAAAATATGTAAAATAAGTTAACTGATACATTTCGCATTTAATTTAAATGTGCGTAAACTGCAGGCAGTGCTTATTAATTCCAAATCATGTTTTACAGAACCCCCTCGCTGTCGACCTAGTGATAAATATGCCTCAAGACGGGATCCGGTTAATTTTCGACCCGGTGGCGCAGCGGCTTAAGATCATAGAAATATACAATATGAAATTAGTTAAGCTTAGGTATAGGTAAGTAACCAATTTACTTAACTAAAAATTAAGTCATGTCTCTTGCCCCAATCATAACCCCTGTTTAGCAAAATCTTTATAATCATGGGCGTAGCCGGCATGGGAAATCTAACTAACATGCTTTTTAGTCTTAACTGAGAAAGAAGAAAGGAGAGAAATTTTGTGGACTTAATTATTTGATGGCTACTTAAACGGCCATTGAAGACAGTTGAAAAAGTATTGGCTTAGTGTACATTTTTTTTTATTTATTTATTAAAATTCGTACAACATTACATTAAGTTATATATAACCAAAAATTATGCGTAATTAACTATTTCAGACTTAAGTAACTATGACAGTACAATTATATTATACAACTATGAATCTTCCTATCTATGAATAGTGATAATTAATTTAAAGAAATATAATAATTAAAAAGAGAAAAAAAATCTAAAAGAGTACATGCATGTAAAAAAAAAACTTAATAATTATGTAAACCTAATGTTATTATGTGAAAACTTAGTAAAAGTTGTTTTGAATTTTTTTCTCCTGATATATCTATATCCTTATCTGTACAAATAATTTTTAAAACCATATAGGAACAAAAATTTTGTAGCTCATTTTGAGCTATTACAACATTAATTATTATTTGTCAGTAAAATTGTGTAAGCCGTTTAAGAAATAAAAAAAAAGAGTGCAAATCATTTTCATAAATTTATTCTTTATTTTAAAATGGAAAACTTCAGCTAGTGCAATAGGATATTTACAAATCTAATATATAAAATTCTCGTGTCACAGTTTACGGTGCCATACTCCTCCGAAACGGCTTGACCGATTTTGATGAAAATTTTCGTGCTTATCCGGTATCTATGAGAATCTGCCAACATCGATTTTTCATCCCCCTAAATGTTAGGGGTAGTCTACCCCTAATTTTTATTTAGATAAAATTTTTAATTTATATTTTTTTATGATACAACATACAAAAATACATAAAATCCTCAATTTTAATCATTTCTCGAAATTATTTATATGGCAAAACAACGTTTGCCGGGTCAGCTAGTTAGATAGAAAAAAATAAAAAATATATATTAAAAATGTACAAAAGGCAAATAAATGTTTGCTCAACTACCATTGATATATACAATCAAACAGTAATATAGCTTATTTCTTATTTATCTTAGTGGTTATACAGAAACTGTAATTATGAGAATGATAGACTGATGACTAGATACAATATTTAGTATCTGTAATTTTAGGTCAGCAGGAATCTGAACGAACAATAAACACAAACGAGTGAATTCTACCTATTTTTTTTAAATAAATCCAACTGAATTATAGATTAACTATTATAGACTATAGAGAATTTTAGGCTTTGAGGATCATATATTATAAGATTATACATTCCCTTTTCATATGTATGTATATAATTGTTGATTTAATTTATTACAATTATCAGGACACATTTCTCACACATCCACACAAAAATCTACGTTTTTTAATCGCGTTTACAATAAAAATAATGTATTGATTAATTCTAGTAAGCTTAAGGTCATAACTCAGAGCATATGACTCATGAAACAAAATGTTACTTAATTTTAAAACAAACAATAATGATTGTATGGTAATAATTATTTAAGTAGGATATTTTTTCAAAATTGTTTATTTTTTTATGGTTATGAGTAATAGTTCTGCTATTGATTCATAATAATTATTAGTTTTTTTTTCAGAGACTAAAGATTGCCATATTAAGTCTATCTATAATTGTTTTCAAGTCGTTTCACTACCGGTATATTTTTTGTACCTCTATAATAATTATATACTCTGTGCTCTCCGGACTATGTAAAAGATTATTCTAATTCTAGTAATTGATATTAGCGTTTCAAATAAACAAAATTCCCCGATTATATTTAATATATAGATTATAATTATAATGACGCATTTGTTTCAGTGGTATGTCTTTTAACTCACCGGAGATAACGCCATCTATCGAGCAAGTGGAGCACTGCTTCGGCGCGACCCACCCGGGCCTATATGACAGTCAGCGGCATTTGTTCGCGCTTAATTTTAGGGGACTCACCTTTTATTTTCCTGTTGATAGTAAATTTGAGGTTAGCCATTTAATCGTTCAACCTATTAGAAAAAGCTTGAATGCATTTCTTTTGTATTTTAGATGATATCATTTATGGCAACTCTAAATTAAATGTTTATTTATAAGATCTTTGATGGTTATATTTTTCCATTACTATGTACGAGTTTGTATATAAGTAAGTTGAGAGTTGTAAATGTAAAATGTTCTCTTTTGTTGTATCAACGCATTATATTGATATTCATTAAATGATATATTTATCATATAGGATACCTATGTTAAAATTGAAACCCTCTTTGCAAAAAAGTTTGCTTTTGCTTAAATTATTTGCTAGGCGCAAACAATATCTTTGAATATATATTTTTTATTAATACTCTATTATCATTTCAGCCTGGCTACGCTCACGGCCTGGGCTCGCTTCAGTTTCCTAATGGAGGTTCACCTGTCGTCTCTAGAACAACTATCTATTATGGCTCACAGCATCAGGTAAGATAGAGTAACATAGAGTAATATTCACCATCAAAGGTAGAAGTTTATCGCACTAGTACGAAAGCCCAGAATTTACCAGCGTTACGTTAAAATATATATTTTTTTAACTCGTTTGTTATTCTACTGCAGTCTAGAGTGATTAATGTGTGTGAGAATATTTTTTTAGTATACTTATATTTTACAGCTGACACGGTCCAGCAATGGAGGTCGCTGTTCGGCACCGTTAGCAGACCTCCCTCTATCCTGTTATCGACACCAGCTCCACTTGCGCCGTTGCGATGTCCTCAGAAGCGCTACGAGTACGCTGGCTCTTGGCCTACATATATACACTGAAGGTAAAGAGAAATATCTTAAACAAATCATTTTAAATTACTAGCTGTGCCAGAGACTTTGTCCGCATAGATTAGTTATTTTGAGTATACATATTGCAAACCTACTCCTCATCTTTGTCAGTTCTAGCTATTACAGACCACGTCGATTGGGTCCACTATGTCCAACTTAAGGGATGGACCTATAGTGTCGGGAACAGTTTTTTTTGTCATTTAAAGATAATTTTCCCCATTTTTCTACATTTTCCACTGTTCCTTTGTTCCTATTCGTTCGCAGCGTGATTCTATATAGCCTAAAGCCTTTCTCAGGTAACATTCTAACCAACACAAAAATATTTTTTCGAACTAGTAGTTCACGACATAGAACGCTCAAACAAACTTTATAGTATTTCAGTATACATTTTAAATAATCGACAGATTTTGAAAATACAAATTTAGCTTCAATTATACAAAAACAACATATTGTGCTGTTACTCTACCAATTATGGTACCAAGTGACATTGTTATTGATTTAAATAACGGTTTGAAGCGCGATTTATTTGTTAAACTTATATATGGCGTTTTTAACCGTTTTAGTGTTTTATTAAAATATTTACTACTGGCATAAAAGTATGGTTATAGATTATAATCATAAGGATGATTTATTTAAGGAGGTAGATCCGGCGATGCCCCGTGTGCGCGCCGGCGTGTCATCCGCTTCGGTGACAGCTGTCAGGCTGTTTCCCGCGCTTTGGCCGCTCCGGCGCGTCTCTACTACAAAGCGGACGACAAGATGCGCATACACAGGCCGACGGCGCGTCGCCGCCCACCCCCGGCCAGCGACTACTTTTTCAACTACTTCACTCTGGGTTTGGTGAGTGGATGTTTATATAATTTTTATGATAACAATTTTAACGAATTAAAACACGAAATATATTAATTTGACTTTTTGATGCTTTACTAATTCTAGTACTCATAAACTACAAACAATACCTGGCTCATTGATACATTATATTCAGAAGTACATTTACACTGTTGTGTAAATAATATCGTATCAACTTATTGGGTTTATGTTTTTGTGTACCTATATAAATTTTATTCTAGCATTGGGTTAAGCGAGAGAGAGGTCCTAGGTTCGATCCTAGTGAAACAATATATTGTTTTAGTCGGGCCGGGCAAGAACTCTGATCAAAATTGACGAAAGAACCGTTCACCGAAACGTATATAGAATTTTATCCGCCCCATGCTCCACAGGAGGAAACGGGATTGCACTATATCAATGTTCAATTTTATCTTCGACTGCCTAGAAGATGAACTTTTTAATTTATTAGAGTATTCATCCTTCATTGGATGTACAATTGAAAAAATCAATTATGACATATTACGATATTTTCAGGACGTTCTATTCGATGCGCGCACGCACCAAGTGAAGAAGTTCGTGTTGCACACCAACTACCCCGGGCATTATAACTTCAACATGTACCATCGCTGCGAGTTCGAGCTCAACGTACAACCCGACAAGTTTGTTTCATTTTCATATATGTATATCTGGCATATTCCTCACATATCGATTTTAGAATGTGTTCCTTCACTGAAAAAAGTTTGCTGTAAAATTATTGATTAGTGAGAGGAAAAATTACTTACGAAAGCTTAAAATAATATTATATATTATTAAAAAGTCTAGTGAGAATAATTTTTCGTATTTGTGTGGGCCAAACTATAACTAATTATATATATATAAATTTTGCCATCAAAATCCGACATTACCTGGTGATGTTCGTCGTTCCTTGACTAAGTGAAGAAGCATGGCCCGCAATTTCCCAATTTACACGAACGAATCGACTATTATTATTCATTGGGGACACCGATGGTCAGTCCACATTATCGTCTGACTATTTCACCCATTTCCTCCTTACAGAGATAAAATGAACCGATTATCCATATAGTTTTTGCTTCGAAAGGCAATCTTTGAAATTGTAGTCATGGTAGTAGCATGCATTCACAGTAGTTATAAACTTACAGAGATAATGTTGAACTTAGATCGGAGTCCAACGCGCTAGTCGAGTCGCGCGGCGCCGTCTGTATCACAGCGTACAGCAAGTGGGAGAGCGTGTCGCGGGCGCTGCGCGTGTGCGAACGGCCTGTGGTCCTCAATAGAGCTTCTTCGACCAATACGACCAACCCCTTTGGATCTACTTTCTGCTATGGATACCAGGACATCATATTTGAGGTAAAAGAACTGTAGTATTGATCTTTGTTCTTCCACTTTTTTTCAATTTATAATCGATATTAACATGCAAAGCTTAAGGTTGAAATTACATTGCGCGAGAGGTGTATATATCAATAGGTTGAAGAAATTCGACGATGACGTGTAGGAGTCGGTAGGTCAATTGGTTCGAGCAATAGCAAGAAACGTGGATACCGGTTCAAATCCTGCCCGAGTTGATTTTTCAATTTATAATCGATTTTAGATTTATATAGTGCCATCCTGTGCAATAACAAGTTTTAATCCCTTTTACTTCTATCTGGAATTTCAATATCTTAATGAGTAAATTTGTCTTATAGCGTTCCTATGTACAAGAAAAATAATTCTTTGTCACTGTTAGTAGAAATAACTAAGTGCATATATATATTAATTCTAGCACAATAATTTCAGGTGATGTCAAACAATTACATAGCGTCGATAACTCTCTACCAGCCCGAGGGAACTCGACCACAGTACGCGGTCAGTTCCATCGCGTGACACGAACAGGTACATACGTTACACTTACGTTACATGTTACACATTGTGTTCGTTATGTTGAAAAACAGCTAAATTTTTTAATATAAATTTAAGCATTTTGTTTTGTAAAAAATATATATATACACCCGAATCGAATTGAAAAAGGTTCTTCTGCTTTCTTCTCAACAGGTATCACAGAAAAGTGGTAATAAATTAAAAACCTGAATGCCAGTTTCTGCTACAGGCGACACGCGTGTTGCCACACCAAAAAAGTTTCAACCAAAAATTCTGGCGATAACAATACATATCCCTTTACTATACACCAACCTAAGAGGAAACAGTATTTAAAAAAATGTGATAAAACTGTAAAAAAAAAAAACCTAAAAAAAAGTGAGTGACCGATCTCAAGAGAGTGTGGAAGTTTATTTAAATCTTAGCAAAAATTGACAGGTGAACGAGTTTATTTTTTTAAAGTGACGTGTGTTCGTGTAAACAATCAGATGTCTATGGATATTAGTCAATTGTGTTCTCTTTTTAAATTCGATGGATTTTCCAAAGTATAATAGACTGTTGTAAATATCGGAATAATGAGTATGTTTAAACAAATCGACGTATTTTTTCTAAAAAATCTAGACGCGAGCGTGTGAGATGTTAAAAAAACGTGCTAAAAATATTTTATAACATGCACCACAATAACGTGTGTTAGTTAAGGATCTGTAATTTATGGTAAAAAATCATAGATGAAAATGTTGTCTACGTCTTTTTATTTATTTTACTGCACGTGCGATGTAAGCCGTTATTGATCATGATCTTTTTATTATATATTTTTTACCGTTATTTTTGTATTACGGTGCACATGGCATTATTGTCTATGAGTTTTTAAATTAGATGTTAAGCGTAGTTTTAATTTGACAAACGCTGTTCGGTTATCACAAGTTTTATATTATTATATTAAATCGAAGAGCTTGATGAATTGCTTGTTAGATAATAAAAAATAATACCATCTTATTTGTTTAATTGATGAAATCTTGGAAAAATTCTATGACTTATATTTTTCGAAGTTTTAGCTAGACGATACTTTTGTCACGAAAAACCCCCTTTGTTCATTTGCGACACATTGTTGATTTTTGAGAATTATCCAATTGTTTTCTAGTTACAAAGTCGAAAAATAGTTATATAAGATGTACTTTAACGTATGCATAAGTGTGTATAAGTAGTTGCTACTTGCAAGTGTGATTCTGTGGTGTGTTATTTGATGTCACAAATGTTAAATTCGGTTATGCATAGTTCACGGCGATTTATCAGAACTGTCAATGTCAAAATTGATACGCACAGATTAAAATGACAGTTGTCTAGTAGTTTAGCTTATTAATAAAAATGCATAAAAATCATGGTTTGACGAACGTAGGTATTAATGCGAAATTTAACAACTAGATGTTGGTAATCTTTATTGCTGTACAGTTTACCGAATTCCTATTGATAAAAAAGTGAACAATTCTTGCGATTGATGTCACGTGAAGTTACTTTAATGTCATCTTTATCGACATTAAAAAATATACTAACTGGCGACAAGAAATGTTATCTTTTCAAAAGTATGGCTCCTAGTACAGATTATAACATTTATCCTGAACGTAAAAGGTCGCATCCACTCGTTTCATGTTCTGACGTCTGTGGAACCGACTTACCAAGCTGCTGGTCCAAGTATCTTTGCACGCGATACATGACAAATTAAGATAAAGAATTATGTCATTATAATGTGATCATCGCAGGATACAAACGATAACGTTAGATAAAATCGTCGTGCTTGATCGCAATTCAGATAGGCTAAGAGAGGACGAACCAATTATTGTTATCGGCGATAATAAATATCAGATGTGACATGTTTCAAAAATGTTTGACTATAGATATATCTGTTCAAATAAGGCTTCTAGAAGCGGAGTGGCCTAATAACAAAATATATGATTTTCAATAAGGATAAAAATAAAAATGCGCAATTCACTTAGGCGAATATTAATTTGTACTATTATTTGTGTAAGAACAAGTGTAGTAATACCAATTTTCGGTCACTATGCACTTATTAACATTTTTAGACTAAAAAGATATAAATAACTCAATTCATAAAATTGCAGTTCTGCTTCTAGCGGCCTCAAATGATCTGTTCTCGTACCTATCGTCTCCCATAATTTGGTGTGGTTACTAGGTTAATAGAAGTTCTATTTCACTGAAATTCAATACTATATTTGAAACATTGATATTTCAGGTTGCACATCAAAAGCTTGGGTCTGTAAGCTTTTGTAACACATAAGCGAAACTAAGATTTTTCTATGGTTATTATTACACAATAATTAATCAGTTTTTTTACTCAACATCAAATGAAATCAATACGACAAAAAATATAAAGATTAATCTATATTTATAGATAATCATATCGCAGATATTGAATTACCTTTAAATCTAATAATATTAATAGTTCGAAAAGCCGATAAAAACTAGCTTATTGTCAGCTCTTAGCCTATTTATTTTACGCTTACGTGTTATTTTGTGTTGCTATTGTCATTTCAACCGTATCCTAAATAATAGGCACCCCACATGCGATATTTCAATGTAGGCTTTATCGTGTGTGGTCTGGAATTTGCTTTTAAGTCCTATCTCTTATTAGTAGCAAATAAGGTGCAAATTGTAATCACTATTACTCAAGTGGGAATTTAATCTTGAGAAATGTATTGTTCAGAATCCACGTCTTCAGGTTAAATTCGAACTTTGGCTCTTAGTCTACATGTTGCAAAAATTATAACATGAGCTTATAGGAATTTCAAAATGTCTAAAATCTGTTTGCGTTTTTACAATATTCAACTATGTGTAATTCAACTTGTGTTTAAGTGGATTGTTTTTCTTGATTAACATAATCCTTGTAAATTTTAAGATTTTATTTGATACATATATAGGTACCTCCATCAGCGGGTTTTGAGTAAAGTTATGTCTGTAGCATGTTATGTATATAGAAGTCGTTAAATAAAATATTTTTAACGGGGTAAAGCGCGAACTACACCATTCGATTATTTTTTATTCATAACTAACGTTTTCTGCAGTGCATTGAACACTTAAATTAAACTCTAACGGTTTAAAATAAATATAATAGTTAACTTATTCACATATTATTTTAACTACCGACGTTTCGGGTTTGTCATTATATATTTCGCGTTTTAAACGTTCAAAATGTTTCACTGATATGTGCACTACTTGCGCAAACTACGAACAATACTCAGTTTTGATAAATTGGAAATATATGAAAAACATATAGTTGAATATATGTAAATGGCCCCAGACTGAGCACTTTCGATCATAAAGACAGGCAGTAAGGTTGTGATCATTCACTTTGTTTTAAATCAATATATTTTTGTTATGGCAATAAAACTAGAATCATTTTAGTCAAATTCTCTTTATTGAAAACATTAGACAATAATCATTGTACTTAAGTTTAAGTAACGCAATTTAATCTCGTGTTAATTTTCTGAAATACGAAATACCGAAGGTTCTCGGCGATTTTGATGAATCATTTAAGTCCCAACATTCTTCTAATGCACAACTACGTGTGATTGTTAAGTGTAAGTGGCGTGGTGCCATAAAAAAAGGAAAAAAATCGACAAATAATACATTTAAAAAAGTACTAATTAATATAAGGTACCTCTTGTTGGTGTGGTACGGTTTTCCATAAAGCGATTCGCCGTTGATTTAACGATTTAATACTCAAGCAGATTTCGATTTTCATCTATCTAGCAGTAATTTTCAGTTTTAAATTTAGTTAGTGAAAATAATACGGGTCATAGTTTGTTGCCGCTCTTGCGCAGAAAACAAAGTTTTAAGTGAAGTTTAGTTCTTGTTTGGAACTCTGTTGTGTTTAAAAATAGCAAATCGTACGTACGTATTAAAGTTGATGTAGATCTTAAAAGGCTTATTGCGAGTACGAGTAAACAATCTGGTTACAGTTACATTTAATAGAACGACAAAATTTAGTTTGAAACTTTTATGTACGAGATTTGGATCATATATATAATTTTTTGTTATTTGTCCGCCATCTTGAAATGTTGTATTAGAAGTCTTTGTAACAAGCCTAATGTTAGACGGCGACTGAATGCCCGTTTACACGTAATAGTCGAATTCCGTACAAACACTGATAAGATACTATTGTAATTACCGTCATGGTTAGCTTATTTTGCTGTGGCTTATAAATGTCACAGTGTTGTCACTTAATTCGTAAGGTTATTTGTATATTATGTCAGCCGTTTTTACTTTCTACCCTCATAGCTGTTTGAAAATGTAACCTCTTTGGAAATGTAAAGGTTATCGTTGCAACTGTAAAGGCTGACGTAATTGTGTGTAATATGGATAGTGTATGCATTAAGTGGTACATATATAGTTTATGATGACCAAACGTGTAACAGAACACCTCAGAAGTCTGCTGTAACAAGATCGTTAGGTAAATGACGTTATGTTTTCCATACGTGTCGGATCTTATAATCTCAAATATCAGTACAATTCAAAACTGTTGCGTTGCTCGCCCAAAAAAAAGAAACGAATTGTTTGTCTTGGCTTGTTACTGCAGAGGTTGTATACATTTAGCCAAGACCTAAATTATGAAACTCTAAGTTCTCTTTGTAATGGTTCTTTTAACAACAGCTAACATCTTAAAAATCTCGTTATTCTCGGAAATGCGATTGCAAAATATTTACTATTAGATAAAGAGGTTTCGAAAAATTTGGTTCGCGTAATGATAAGATCGATCGCTTTCGGGGAATATCTTTAAATTGACATCTCGATATTTATTAACGTGATAAACAATGATACCACGTATCCTTTAGTTTACTAGAGTAGTACACATTTATATTACGACGGTTTAAAACGAGAAATATTAACTTATTTTTATGATATTGAATTCCAAAATACATTTCATTACAAGAATTCGAGTTTTGAATGAAAGTATAAGAAAATAATTGTACTAACTAAAACAAAGTTACAAACCC